GCATACATCCACGATACACTATCTCATGCATACTAGTCGTTTTAAAACATACAAGCATATATAAATAAAACAATTTTATTTGAGACGGTCATGGTGCTCGCGCATTCTTCCATCTTGCTCCTTAGGCCACGGCTCATTCTTGTCTAAACGCCACTAGCCTAATTCTCTAATTACAAAATAATTAAAGAAACTCCAATACATCTTTGGAGGCACAAAAGAATGTAAAAAATTTAAAATTAAAAAAATTACACCTGTAATTTAATTAGAGCAAAATTACATCTCTAATTTAAAATTAAGCAAAAAATTTGAAATTTAAATTCGGGGACCATGACCATCCCCTTCCAATTTGCACCTAAAAAGTTAAACAACTTGCAAGCACACAATATTATATTAAATATGTTCTCACATATATCTTGATATTTTAACAATGAAAATATCAAAACAAGAATCAAAATTCAAAATCTCCTAATTTTCTCTAAATGGCCGAATCATGCATCTTTATACACAATTCAAATCTTTGTCGATTCTTTGTCAAAGAACACAAAAATTAAACCATACATACAACCATATTTACTAATATGGCCGAACCATACATACATATGTATAAGAAATTTTATCACAAAAATTTTATGCTATGCTCATGAACAATTAATCTAAGCAAAGCCCAAAATTATCAAGATCAAAATGAACAAAATCAAGAAACCTAATTTTATTCATGTGGTCGAGATATGCCATGAAAATTTCATGCATTTTTGAAATAAAATCAAGGAGAAAACAAGGCATTTGAATATTCACATCATGGCCTAATCATATTCCTTTCTAAAAGATGTTTCTTTTGAAAACTTTCACAAATAATCATAAAGAAACAAACCATGACCACATATAGATATATGAACATAGCAATCACATTAACATGTTCATAAAACATAAAATTTAACAATTTAAAGCATTGTAATTCAAAATCAATATGCAAAGATTCAAGGTTTAACTCTTTAAAGAACTTTTGACTGTAAATTTACATGAAAACATTAACCTTTAGCGCTTAAAAGATTGAATTCAAATAATTCAAATGTAAAATACAATCTTGACAGTAAAGAAATTTTTTTTACAAACAAGGTACCATCACCCGTCGATAGTAAAGCAATCGGGCTCTGATACCACTTGAAAGAAATACCCTTGAAGGCCGTAGGCATGTGAGGATGAAAAAAAAAAATTTCAAAGCGGAATTACACATACCAATTTAAGATACATGTTTTAGGACAGAATGTTACCTTGTTTGTAATTCAAAACTCGAAGATGATCAATGTTAGGCTTGAAGGTTCAAACCCTCTAATGTTGATCCACACCACCCTTTATCAAGATGCAAGAACCGTTCTTGAAAACCACCAATCGAAACCCAAAAGGAAGCGAGCTAGGTGTCCCAATAAGAGAAGAAGGAGGCAAGGTTTCAAGGTGTTTAGATGAGTGAATTTTCAGCAAGAAAATACACTAAAAGTGGCGCATAGAATGGTAGGAGAAGTGGCCGGATTTTTCGTATAAAAACCCTTAGGAGAACTCCACTTTAAAAGGAGACTAAAGGAGGATTATATGTTGCTGATTTATGAGTCAGAAAATCACTCCAAAATCAGATCATGGAGCACACAAATCATGGAGAAAAATAAGACTGACAACCAAGTCAATTTATTGGTCTAACAACCATCATATGGCTAGCCTATTTGAGCACCCCATTCAGCCAAAGAATCCTCTCCTAAAATCAATGACATGATTATGATAAGATGCTAATTGAATTCAAATTCAAATCTAGCTCTTATCTTCTCCTTTTTGATATGAAACAAACTACTATAGTCAATTCAAATTCAAATATTTAAATTCAAAATTTAAATTATGAAATTAAATATTAGATAATTAATTTAACTATTTAAATTAATTAATAATGTCTTTGACTATCCAAGCTCATTATCACCATCCATGCGCCCCCTTCCTTCTTAGGTAGGCTTCTAAACTTCTTCCTGGGCTAACAACCATTATTAGGTCCAAAACCTTTAATGCTATAATGTCAAGACAATAAGGTGTTAGTGTGTGACCCATTAGGCCCAACATAGCCACTGACATAAATGGGCTTGGGCCCAACAAGACCACAACCCATTTAATGACATCACAGAGCACTAGCAATGCTTTGTTGCCCCAGAGCTAGTTAGGTTAATGACATGATCATCCTATTAAATATATTTGGTTACTGTATGTATTTCTTTTTGTCTCGGTTACCTTCTCATTAAACTTAGGGTGAGGAAACTTATCAACCCTTGCAGTTTAGGGTAAACTTTAACTTGAAATAGGGAGTCTTTAATTTACTGACTCTAAAGACAGATCATCTCATGATCTCTTTTACTATTCATAGATTCCCAAGTCACGTAAATATCATCCCAATTTCTCCGGTTTACAGATAACCTAATCTCTCACAGAGATTTGACGAATTCCTTCAGCTTGTCACCCTAGGCTCGTGTTCTTTCAGAACATGCCCAAAGGTATACCTATGAATCTCCATGTTTCAGGCAGATGAGGTATATAATCAAAACATGCCTTCTAGAACACAGCCTAGGCGAAAACTTCTGGTCTAATGAAAGACACACCCAAATAATAAGAGACTGCTCTAATGATACTATATGTGAGATTTCCTCATAGAGTCTCTTTTCCGGATCTGTTGAGTGCGAGCTATACCCTTATAGATCCACCCACGACTTTGGCTAAGACATCTCTATATGTCTGTAGCTCATGAGGTCTTTACCTTGTATCTCTATACAAGTAGATAAGCAGTGCTAGTCTTACTCGAGATTATCAGTGTCTCTAGACTAGGAACATAAAATTAGGAATAAACATCTGGTATCCTTGAATCCTCATGATCGTGATTTCATCACAGATACTCAAGAGATACCTATTCTATTCCAAGGGGTTTATCTAGTTACTCATATAATATATTAACAATAATATCGAGACAAAATATGAAACAGGATAAAGAGTGCTTATGATTTATTTGCTACAATATAAAAAATATATGTATGTCCTAATCTAATCAAAAGATTGTCTCTAGGACATCCATATACTAACAGTGAGGAGTCTCAAGTGGCTAATACAGAATAGAGAAGAAGTTGTTGTTACTTAAGTAATGCAAAAACTATACAACTGAAATGTAAAAACTACAAAATAAACTAAGTGATCTCTTCTTAATGAACATCCTATTTATAGGCAGAAGAGTGAATGGCAAAGCTTTTAATTTTCCTAGAGTTGTTTTCTTGACTGCATGAAAGGGCGGTGTGAACAATGCTCAGAGGGATGCAAGTTGCTGGATGGGACACTTATTGTTAAGATTTGTCATTTCTTCTGCAATCCCCTAGGCTTTTTTTTTCCTCTTAGCCAATGAGAACTCTTTATCCCCTACTGTACACGTTTCTTCGTGCTTGATTGTTATACCCCTCATGCTTTATGGAAACTTCGTTTCAACGTTTCTTGCAAAGTTGTCAAACAGTTTGCGTTAGTGGAGCAAGTGTATTTAATGTTCCTGATCCGTTCCCCTTTTTCTATATTTTCCAAAGGATTACATCATACATCTGTTTCCCACTGTGTTTTTGTCATAAAGATATAAAACGTGTTTTTAGTGCTGAAGTTACTTATCAGATGAGGGAACGAATGGTGTTTTGCCATCAAAATGGGCTTAGATAGGAACGAATTTTCATCCCATGAATACAGAAGAGAACGGTACGAGAGTTCGTGTTGTGATGCAGAGGAGATCAGTTCCTGAAGGGGAATCATAAACAAGGTGATTCTAGGAAGATCTGTGCGTCAAGAGGAAAATGTGAGACGAGGATGATTCGATAAGCATACCAATGTACGAGGTCTTAAATCGCTTCCGCATAAATCCAATAGTTCCTACAATTGGTATCAGAGCTCGGGTTATACATTGGTATGTGAATCTAGTTTCACTATTCATGTAATTAGTTAGCTTCATGAAATATGGAACCTGGGGTTCGATATTTGTTATTAAATTGGCATGAGTATCCTTTATAATTTTTCATAAATTGGTACTTTTTTTTTGGATTTTGCTTTAATCCATGCTAGAGATTTGAATGTATTCTCTTGGGCTGTAACAAGGAGGCTAATGTCATATGATTAGGTTTAGACGTGTTCATGACTTTCTAACCACATGTAGTGAAAGTGGACAGAAAACTGAGCACGAAGACAATCAGTTATGGCTGATAGGATGCCGGAGTCGCCCTCACGCGCCTCCAGAAGTGGCTACGCGTGAGCGCCACTCGCGGGCAGAGATTGGGCGAGTGGTAGCTCCGATCGGGCTGGTTTCGATGTTGGAACTTTCATCTCTTCAAGGCGATCCTTCCCCTAGAGTTTCGTGCTAAGATGAGTTCGGTTAACAGCGCAGTGGATGTGACAGCTAGGGTTCCTGAAAGTTGACTATGGGTTTCTTGCCAAAGTTTGGTATTTTTGGCCTTTGGGCCCATGATTACCATAAATGGATGTGAAACAAAAACTATGTACTAATAGTTAAAAGGAAATGGACAGACAAGTTATTTGTTCCAATTTTTATTTTGTTTTTTTAATTTTATTGTTATTTTTCTCTAGGGAACTATGGATTAAAGTTTATAATTATTTTATTTTTATGAATATATGAATTATATGACTGATAACATGCCATATAGAGTGGGTGGTGCCATATTGTTGCAGAACTTGTTAATTACATGAGCATGATGACTGTTATGTTTGTACGACTAGATTAATAGTCGTTATGGTAATTAATTCATATTGTGAAATTTAAATGTAATGGTTGTTACATTTGATAGGCTAGATTAATGGTCATTATGATCTTAATTCTAACTTTCAAAATATGCACATAACGAATTTAATAATTTAATTATCATTATGATAATTATTTTGATTTCAAATTATCTTTTTAAATGACAATTATTATTATTCCTATAATGTAGAAGCTGATGTTTGCCACTTATATGCTGGAGGGATATGCTCACGAGTGGTGGATGAGCACTTCGCAGGTTTATGAGATGCAGGGTCATGTGATCACGTGGCCATTATTTGAGGAGCTGTTTCAGGGGACGTATTTCCCATATGATGCGCAGGAGAGAAAGCAAGGAGAGTTCAAGCGGTTGGTGCAGGGCTCGATGTCGGTTGATGAGTACTTGGCTAAGTTCAATGAACTGGCCACATTTGCACACTTCAGGATTGCTATGCCTACACCGACATTCTTGGCTTCTAAGTTCCGTAGGAGACTTAATGAGAACATAGCAGACAGGATAGCGGGAACGGCATCCCGAGACTTTGGCACCTTGGTTCAGTAGTGCTGTGATATTGAGGACGTATGTTTGGTAAGCAAGGCAAAAAAGGCTCCTGGGGAGAAGGGAGCTGGTAGTTCCACTTCTTGGAGAGACAAGAAGTTTGGAGGAAAGGAAAAATGGAAGCAGTTATCTGCTAGGCAGGCGCCGAATCAGTTTAAGAGGACTTCGACTCAGGGGAATGCAGCTAGACCTTCCACTAATTCCAGGTGTACCGGATGTGGTAGATCACATGTTGGACCGTGTGCTACCGGTCAGATTATTTGTTTTCATTGTGGCAAGGAGGGCCACTATGCCAGAGATTGTCTTTCGTCAGCTACTAGAGCTGCAGCAGTTCATGCGGTTCCTCTTCATATGGTCTCTACTCCACCTACAGCGGCACCTGTTGTGCCATCAGCCACTAATCGAGTGTATACCTTGGATCGCCAGCAGTCGGACAGAGCTCTGAACCTTGTGAGATGTACTATTTCCATTGGTGGTTCTGTTGTTGATGTATTGTTTGATTATGGGGCTATACATTCTTTCATCGCGACCCCGATTGCTGTGGGGCTTCAGTTGCCCATTTATGTGCTTTCTCCACCTTTGCGGGTGACCACCGCCACTGGAGAAAAGTTTGATACTTCCTTTGGACATCGCGATGTCGTGTTTCAATGGGATGGTCGTGAGTACTCGGTAGATCTGATTGGATTGTCGATGGCTAATTTGGAGATCATCCTTGGCATGGACTGGATGTCCAAGAATTGTGTGATGATTGATTATTGTGCTAAGAAAGTGGTGATGTCTCTGTGTGATTCCACTGCCAATTCTTCGAGGTGTTTCCTGAGGAGATTCCTGAGTTTCTGCCACAGCGGGAGATAGAGTTCTCCATTGACCTGTTGCTTGGTGTAGGGCATATTTCATTAGCTCCATATCGGATGTCTCCACTGGAGTTAGCGGAGTTGAAAAAGCATATTGAGGATCTGTCCGCGAAGAATTTCATTTGGCCGAGTGTGTCTTCATGGGGAGCACCGATCATCTTTGTTAAGAAGAAAGATGCGACCATGTGATTGTGCACCGACTACAGACAATTGAACAAGGTGACAATCAAGAACAAGTATTCCCTCCCTCGTATTGATGATCTGTTGGATCAACTTAGGGGTGTTTGCGTGTACTCGAAGATTGATCTCCGGTCCGGATACCATCAGATTCAAGTTAAGTCAGAGGATGTCCCCAAGACCACATTTTGTTCGAGATACGGTCATTATGAGTATTTGGTGATCCTGTTTGGACTCACCAATGCACCGGCAGTGTTCATGGATTACATGAACCGTATTTTCCAATCGTATTTGGATCGATTTGTGATCGTATTCATTGAAGATATTTTGATTTACGCCAAGAGTGAGGAAGAGCATGCAGAGCACTTGAGGATTGTGTTGCAGGTGCTGAAAGAGAAAAAGCTACATGCTAAGCCTTCATTGAGGGATATTATTTCTTGGGCATATTATTTCTGCAGAAGGAGTTGAAGTAGATCCGAACAAGATTGAGGTAGTGTTGGATTGAGAGGCCCAAAATAGTTACGGAAGTAAGGAGTTTGTTGAGTTTGGCAGGTTATTATAGGAGGTTCATTGAGGGATTCTCCAAGATGGTATTGCCACTGACTCGCCTTACCCGGAAGGAGACTCCATTTGTGTGGACTCACGAGTGTGAGGAATGCTTTCAAGAGTTGAAGGAAAGACTGCCACTGCACCAGTGTTGGTCCTTCCTGATCCTGCGGAGCAGATTGAGCTTTATTGTGACGCCTCTGGGAAGGGGCTAGGTTGTATGTTGATGCAGACTGGTAGAGTGATTGCTTATGCTTCGAGGAAGTTGAAGCCTAATAAGAAGAACTACCCGACTCATGATTTGGAGTTGGCTATGATTGTTTTTAACTTTAAAATTTGGAGGCATTACCTTTATGGCATGAAGTTTGTCGTGTTCAGTGACCACAAGAGTTTAAAGTACTTGCTTGACCAGACGGAGCTGAACATGAGACAAAGGACATGGATGAAGTTTCTGAAGGACTACGACTTCGAGTTGAAGTCTCATCCTGGCAAGGCCAATGTGGTAGCTGATGCTTTGAGTCAGAAATTCGTGAGTCTATCCAGTTTGATGATGGGTGACTTTGATGTGATTGAGAAGTTTTGAGATTTAGCAATGACCTTCTTTTTTGGTGGTGCACTTCTCGAGATGGAGACTGTGAGAGTTGAAAATGAGCTAATGGAAGATATCAAAGAGCTGCAAGTGCAAAGAGAGTGCCTTGATTATGTCAAGAACCAAGATGGTGTGTCTTGAAATGAAGATGGATTGTTGATGTTCCAGAAAAGGATTGTAGTTCCTAGAGGTCCATTGACTGAGGAGGTGATGTCAGAGGCTCATAAGGGCCAATTCACTATCCACCCTGGGGCTACAAAGATGTACCGAGACTTGAAGGGGAATTTCTGGTAGCTGGGCATGAAAAAGGACATAGCGATCTATGTGTCTAAGTGTTTGATTTGTCAAAAAATGAAGATTGAACACCAGAAATCATCTGGTAAGCTTCAACCTTTTGAGATTCCGCAATGGAAGTGGGGGAGCATTTCTATGGACTTCGTAGTGGGATTGCCTAAGACTTAGGTTGGTTGTGACTCTATCTGGGTCATTGTGGACAGATTAACTAAGTCTGCCAATTTTCTTCCAGTAAAGTTGAGCTTCACTGCAGGTTTGAAAGACTGCACCATCATCATACCATGGTGCGCATACATGGGTGGAAAACAAAAAAATTTCGCAGCGGAAGCATAGACCATCTATGCACCCCATGTATGAATGCTTTTCGTTGAAACGAAATAGGGTTTCAGAATTACCTTTACACTTGTAGGCGCAAAAAGATGACGCCCTCCAATGGTGATCCACACGATTATCTCCTTATTGCAAACGAGAACTCTTTCTCCTTGATCCCTCCTTAACCTCGGTGGCTGGCTAGGCGCATGCAAGGAAGAGGCTACCAAGTGTTTGGATTATTTTTCTCAAGACTATAATGGTGTCTTGAGGTTAGGTGATGGTGCAACAAGAGAGAGAGAAAGAAAGGTTGAAGCTTTTTCTTTTTCGAATTCTACACACACCTAGGAGAGATGATGCATCAGGTTTTTATAAAAATCTGATCAAGCACATAAGCCCCTCCTATGATTAGGCACACAAGTTAAAGTGATGAGAGAGACTTTCCTTGATTCTCTCCATCTCATTATGCGCCCCACATCAGCTCCCTTTAATTAGGCACACACATTAAAAGGATGAGAGAGACTTTCCTTGATTCTCTCCCTTGATTAGGCGCCCCTCATCAGCCACCTTTAATTAGGCGCACATATTGAATGATGAGAGGGACGTTCCTTGATTCACTCCCTTTAGTTATGCGCCCCTTTAATACCTTTCATTTCCTCAGAAATTTTATTGCAACGGTATTCATTTAAATTCTGAATTCAAATGAAAGAGTAGTTGAGAGAATCTTCATCCAATCTCTATTGAATTATTCCTTTAAATAATTTTAAATTATTCTCAACAACCTAACCTCATAGAATTTAAAATTTCAAATTCAAATTTCAAATTCAAATTTGAAATTTAAACTTAAATATAAATTCAATCTTATCCAAGTTCATAATTCAAATTCGAAATTCAAATTTCAAATTTCAAATTTCAAATTCAAAATTCAAATTTAAAATTTCAAAATTCAAATTTCAAATTTGCCCAAAACTTATTTTGGTCAAGTCAACTATTTGACTTACTAGGATTCATGCCCCAAGGCTTCTTTGGCCTATCATCATATTTGGGCCCATTAGTGGAGGAAACTCTTTCACCACTAATGCCCCAAAAGGGCGCATGGATCAAGTGGGCTTAGAGTCCCTACTCCAACCCAACTTGACTCGTAGTCTTGACAAAGCCCAATAACTCATTATTGGTCCAAACTTGCTATAACTTGCAATAAGGAATAACCTTTGTGTGTGACCCATTAGGCCCAATTAGTTACTGACATAAACAAACTTGAACCATTTAAACACCTTTAAAAGGCCCAATCCATTTAATGACTACATGATACACTAGCAATGCTCTGTAGCCCCAGAACTAATTTAGTTGATCAAGTGATCTACCTTTCTGATTTGGATACCGTGCCAGCATTATCCCTCACATCGTCATTCACATTTAGTCGAGAGCAATGATAGAGTATCATCTCTCTTTATTGACTAAATATAATATTTCACAGGAACTAGGAATCTTCTTCTATTGACTCTAAGACAGATCATGACTCTTCATGATCTCTTACTATGCATAGATTCCCGAGTCAACTAGAAGTCATCTCAGCCCTACCGGTCTTTGTGAACGACTAATCCCTTATAGGGGATTGTGAGTTCTTTCGGCATGTCCATCTATACTCATGTATTCGAGTTATACCCAAGAGTACACTGTTCTCCCCATTTTCAGGCGGATAGAGTTGTACAGTCAAAGTATAACTCTAGGACATAGTATTCGATGACATCCTTAAGTCTAGGATGATCCGCACTACCAATCGTTCAGAGACTTTACAAATCCAATGATACTCTCCATAATGAATCCTTGTGGAGTCTCTAAGCGGGTCAGTTCAATGCTATCTGTTCTCCAACAGATCCACCCACGACATCAGCTAAGGCATCACCATGCCTGCATTCCATGAGGTCCCTACCTTGTATCTCCATACAAGTAGATGATGTCGTACTAGTCTTATTGAGATCACCAATACCCTTTCTTGGTGATTTAAGACCAGGAACAAATTTTAGTTAATAGACATTCAGTGTCCTCGAGTCCTCATGATCATGATCCATATCATAGATCCCCGAGTGAACACCTGCTCTATTCCTAGGGTTTTTATCTTTAAACGCATATTAACAATAAAATATTGGCGAGACATAAATATGATAAAGATAAAGTTTGCTCAAATTTATTAATCATGATATACCAAATAGAAAAAAGTGTTCATCTGATAAAACAGATTGTCTCTAGGACACCTATATACTAACAATCTCCCACTTGGTCTAGAGCCAATCAGGTCGACGTGTCAACCCTAAAGACTCATAATGACTATCATGTTTTCTCTGGGAGAGACCCTTCGTCAGAGAATCGGCCAAATAATCATCAGTGGGGACGTAATCCATCTTTATCTCCATTCTTTCAATAATCTCTCGGATGAGGTGATACTTACGGAGCAGATGTTTGGATCTTTGATGAGACCGGGGTTCCTTGCCCTGGGCAATAGTACCAATGTTATCACAATACAAAGGTATTGGATCAACAATGCTCGGAACCACTCCAAGTTCTGCAACGAACTTCTTGATCCAGACTGCCTCTTTAGCCGCTTCTGAAGCCGCTATGTATTCTGCCTCAGTAGTAGAGTCTGCCGTGGTCTCTTGCTTGGAACTCTTCCAAGAAACTTCTCCACCATTTAAGGTGTATATAAAGTCCGACTGAGATTTACAGTCGTCTTTATCACTCTGGAAGCTTGCATCAGTGAACCCCTTCACTATCAGCTTATTACTTCCACCATAAACCAGAAACAAATCCTTAGTCCTTCTCAAGTACTTAAGGATTGTCTTCACGGCCGTCCAGTGACTCTCTCTAGGGTCAGACTGGTATCGACTCGTAATGCTTAAAGCATAAGAGACGTCTGGTCTAGTACATAGCATGACATACATGATGGATCCAATTGCTGATGCATATGGAATCCTCTCCATGCGTTCCCTTTCGACAGGTGTCTTAGGAAACATAGTCTTAGAGAGATGAATGCCATGACCGACAGGAAGAAAACCCCTTTTCGACCCATCCATGCTAAACCTCTTTAGCATCTTGTCTATGTACGTGGATTGGGACAATCCCAGCAACCTTTTGGATCTATCTCTATAGATCTTAATACCTAGTATATAGGCTGCCTCTCCCATATCCTTCATGGTGAAGTTCTCAGACAACCAAACCTTTGTGGACTGCAACATGGGAATGTCATTTCCAATGAGCAATATGTCATCTACATATAGCACAAGGAAAACAACAACATTCCCACTAACCTTCTTATAGACACATGGTTCATCCTCATTCTTGATAAAATCGTTATCTTTAATGACTTCATCAAAAACGAAGATTCCAACTCCTGGAAGCTTGCTTAAGCCCATATATTGACCTTTGAAGTTTGCATACCATATGCTCTTGACTCTTGGATTCAAAACCTTCAAGTTGTGTCATATACACTTCCTCCTTCAAGAACCCATTCAAGAAGGCTGTTTTGACATCCATTTGCCAAATTTCATAATCATAATATGCGGCTATCGCTAGCATGATCCTAATAGATTTGATCATGGCAACAGGTGAGAAGGTTTCCTCAAAGTCAATTCCTTGTCTTTGACGGTAACCGTTCGCTACCAACCTAGCTTTATAGGTTTGGATGTTGCCATCAACATCAGTCTTCTTCTTGAAAACCCATTTACACCCAATAGGAACTATGCCCTCAGGTGGTGGAACCAAGGTCCATACCTTGTTTTGATGCATCGAATCTATTTCAGATTCCATGGCGTCTTGCCATTTTGAGGAGTCAACATCCTTGACTGCCTCATTGTAGGAAGTAGGCTCGTCATCCTCAACGGTCTGCTGATTCTCAATCACAAAACCGTACCTCTCAGGTCGATGACTAAACCTAGTGCTCCTACGGGGCTGGGTGTCTACTGCCTCCAGTTGAGGCATCGCCTAATCAACAGACTCGGGTTCCCTTATCTGTTCTTGTAGGTCTTGAATTTCTTCAAGTTCTACCTTACTCCCACTATCTTCTTGAAAAAGAAGGTCTTCCTCAAGAAAAGTAGCATTCTTGGACACAATAACTCTTTGGTCCTCAGGGTAGTAATAGTAGTATCCCTTAGTTTCTTTGGGATATCCTACAAAGTAGTACAAGGTACTTCTAGCTCCTAACTTTTCAGGTGCTAGAGTCTTGACATAAGCTGGACAACCCCATACCTTGAGATAACTCAAATTGGGTTTCCGGCTCCTCCATATCTGATATGGAGTAGTCAGAACAGATTTCGATGGTACCCTATTAAGAAGATGTAACGCCGTATGCAGAGCGAATCCCCAAAATGATTTTGGGAGCTTCGTACCACTCATCACAGACCGTACCATGTCTAACAAGGTTCGGTTCCTTCTCTCTGACACACCATTCTGATATGGTGTGTAAGGAGCCGTCAACTGTGAGAGAATCCCATTCTCTCTTAGATAATCCTGAAACTCTTGACTCAGATATTCGCCACCCCGAT